TGGCCTCAAAGGATCCTCCTGTCTCAGTCTCCCAAAGTGCTGAGATTACAGGCATGAGCTACCACGCCCGGTCTACTTTTCCCAACTCTGTCCTTGATCTCTCTGATTCCTGTGTTTTCTGAACAGCAACCTGGACATATATTTCAACTTCTTACATCAGATGAGTTTCATCTCCATTCCATTTCTCCTCTTATAATAAAACTAGAAAATCAATTCAGTGAAAGTAGATCCTGTTAGCATTACTGGTTTATCTAGTAAGATTTCCTCATAGCTGGCCTGTCAAACACTGTTGATTACTTTATTACAGGTGGATTTGATAACTGCCCTCAGCTGCTCCAGAAAATGGAGTGAATGTTAAGTAATTATTTGTCAAACATTTCACTCCTGTAGCAACTAAGAAACACTGTGAGAGTCCTCTGTTAAGTCCACACTTCTCCTCTGAAAAAGTCTTTCTGATTGCAGGAGCTCAGAAACTGCCCACAAATCTATGTGTCACACCATAGGAAAATTTAAGCAGTTTCCAACAGTTCACTCATGGAAGTATTTGCGCCTACTTTAAAGCACCTTCCCGCCAGGTTTGGTGGTTCAGTCTGTAATCCTAGCACTCTGGAAGGCTGAGGTGAGTGGATTGTCTGAGCCCGCAGGTTCGAGACCAGCCCGGGCAACGTGGCAAGATCTCATCTCTACAATAAATCAAAACTTAGCTGGGCGTGGTAGCGCGCGCCTGTAATTCTGGCTACTTGGAAGGCTGAGGCGGAAGGATCACCATAGCCCAGCAGGTTGAGGCTGCAGTGGCCAAGAGGCATGCCACTGCTCTCCAGACTGGGTGACAGAGTGAGACACCAACTCAAAAAAAAAAAAAAAAAATTAAGCACCTTCCCATAACCCATCCAGTTCCACAGACGGCAACTGTTCCCTTCCATTTTATTTTGATTTGGGCCTACTTGTCTTATTCCATCTGGGTCAACACTAAAGTAATGAGGGTTTCTACACAGGATACAATGATTTTCATGTAGCCTTTCTAACAGAATTTGGTTAACAGTACTGATTTTCCCCACAAGTTACATCTGCTCTGATAATGCCCCCATTATATCTCTTGAGGTACTTATACAGAATAATTCCACAGATACAAGAAGTCAATAAAATGCACAACCACAATATTGACAGTTTATAGTCTAGCATTGATTTATGAACCTAAACCAAAGCTTTCTTCCTTAAACTGATTTGACCTATCAACATTAGACATTCAATGTATCTTCCCTTATGGGAGTGGGGACACACTTGCTGTAAAGTCAAATGTAAATTTAAAAATTAGTTTTTATCAAGGTGAATACAAATTGACTTTGATAATTAGAATCAGGTCCCATCTTTAAAAATCACACACTTCAGCCGGGCTCGGTGGCTTAGTCTGTAATCCCGTGCTTTGGGAGGCTGAGGTGAGTGGATTGCCTGAGCCCGTGGGTTCGAGACCCACCTGGGCAACTTGGCGAGACCTCATCTCCACAATAAATCAAACATTAGCTGGGCGTGGTAGCGCGAGCCTGTAGTTCCAGCTACTTGGAAGGCTGAGGTGGAAGGATCACCGGAGTCCAGCAGGTTGAGGCTGCAGTGGCCGGGAGCAGCCACTGCACTCCAGTCTGGGTGACAGAGTGAGACTCCAACTCAAAAAAAGAAAAAAATCACACACTTCTAGCCAGGTGTGGTCGCTCACGCCTACAATCCCAGTACTTCAGGAGGCAGAGGCGAGAAGATTGCCTGAGTCCAGGGTTCAAGACCAACCTGGGCAACTTGGAGAGACCTCATCTCCACAATAAATCAAACAATTAGCTGGGGGCATGATGGCACATGCCTGTAGTTCCAGTTACTTGGAAGGCTGAGGTGGAAGCCCAATAGGCTGAGATGGCAGTGGTTGTGAATATGCCACTGCACTTCAGCCTGGGCAACGGAGTGAGACTTCAACTCAAAAAAAAAAAAGTCGGGCTTCGTGGCTCAGCCTGTAATCCCAGCACTTTGGGAGGCTGAGGTGAGTGGATTGCCTGAGCCCGTGGGTTCGTGACCCGCCTGGGCAACTTAGTGAGACCTCATCTCTACATAAAATAAAAAATTAGCTGGGTGTGGAGCACACGCCTGTAGTTCCAGCTACTTGGAAGGCTGAGGCAGAAGGATCGCTGGAGCCCAGCAAGTCGAGGCTGCGGTGGCCGGGAGTGGCCACTGCACTCCAGTCTGGGTGACAGAGTGAGACTCCAACTCAAAAACAAAAACAAAAACAAACAAACAAACAAACAAAAAATCACACTCTTCTTTTCCCCATATTGCAAGTTTTTAAGTCATTCGGGGGTGGGAACTTTTTGTGCTTTTTTGCATTGATAGTTCAGCTACTAACAGGTTCTAGTATTACTACAGAAATGATACATCAATTTCCCTAGCAAATAAAAATATTAACAGAGTAGATCCAGACCCTGAATATGCTAAAGAAAAAGTGAGACAACCAAGTGGTAAGAGAAAGCCTCTCACAACGAAATTTTTACCTGTGAAATAAGGATTCTAAACTGTCTGCTGAAAATGTTCCCGTGGTCCAGACAGATTCTCTAAACTCCCAGTCCCAAAGCAGTACTTTTTTCATGTTTTCTGTAAAATGAATGGCTTTAAAACTTTTGTTCTCTGGTGTAGCTTTTCAGAAGGAAATGAGTTTCCTTATCAAGAATGAATCTAAGTCGGGTTCGGTGGCTCAGCCTGTAATCCCGCGCCTTTGAGAGGCTGAGGTAGTGGATTGCCTGAGCCCGCGGTTCGAGACCCACCTGGGCAACTTGGTGAGACCTCATCTCTACAATAAATCAAAAAATCAATCGGGTGTGGTAGTGCATGCCTGTAATTCCAGATACTTGGAAGGCTGAGGCGGATGGATCCCCAGAGCCCAGCAGGTCGAGGCTATGGTGGCTGGGAGCAGCCACTGCACTCCAGTCTGGGTGACAGAGTGAGACTCCAACTCAAAAAAAAAAAAAGAATGAATCTAGGCCAGGCTCGGTGGCTCAGTCTGTAATCCCAGCACTTTGGGAAACCAAGGCGAGTGGACTGCCTGAGCCTGAGGGTTCGAGACCAGCCTGGGCAAATTGGCGAGACCTTGTCTCTACAATAAACAACAACAACAACAAAAAAATTAGGCAGGTGTGGTAGCATGCGCCTGTAGTTCTAGCTACTTGGAAGGCTGAGGTGGAAGGATCGCTGGAGCCCAGCAGGTCAACACTGGGTGGCCGTGAGTGTGCCACTGCACTCCAGCCTGGGTAACAGAGTAAGACTCCAACTCAAAAATAATAATAATAATAATAATAATGACTCTAGTTTCCCCGACTCAAAGGCAATCATCTTTTCCATATCGCTCCATATTACAGTAACTTTTCAGTGTCTTCCTTTTCTAATTTAAACACTATTCCCGAGTGCGGTGGCTCAAACTTATAATCCCAGCACTTTGGGAGGCCAAGGCAAGAGTCCAGGGGTTCAAGACCAGCCTGGGCAACTTGGTGAGACCTTGTCTCTATAATAAATCCAAAAAATCAGCCAGGTGTGGTGGTGCTCCCAGCTACTGGGAAAACTGAAGCAGAAGGATCACCTGAGCCCACCAGGTGGAGGCTGCGGTGGCCGTGAGTATGCCATCGTACTCCAGCCTGGGCGAGAGTAAGACTCCAACTCAACAACAAAAAACTAAAAAAAACACTGTTCCCTCAACTTAAGGGCCACCCATACACTAAGGGCTCATCCTTCAGAAGTCTTTGTACTCCATAGGTGACAAAGGTGATGCCTGATCCCAGTACTGGACATGTAAAGGGCATCCACTTGCTTTTTTTTTTGAGTTGGAGTCTCACTCTGTCGCCCAGACTGGAGTACAGTGGCCGCTCCTGGGCACCGCAGCCTCAACCTGCTGGGCTCCAGCGATCCTTCCGCCTCAGCCTTCCAAGTAGCTGGAACTACAGGTGTGCGCCACCACGTCCGGCTAATTTTTTTTTTTTTAATTTATTGTAGAGATGAGGTCTCGCCAAGTTGCCCAGGCGGGTCTCGAACCAGCGGGCTCAGACAATCCACTCACCTCAGCCTCCCAAAGGCACGGGATTACAGGCTGAGCCACCGAGCCCAGCTGGGCATCCACTTTCTTCCTCATGTGTCTTGCCCTCAGCATGACATTATGGGAACAATGAACATAAAGAAGATTTATAACCTTTCCTGGTGTCTATTCAATGTAGCTTTAAACTTTTCTATTCTTGTCTTGTTCTTTACATTCTCCTGTAGTTCAGAAGGTAAACTCTTCACACAACCACTCACAAGTCCTCAAGTCCCAGCCCCTCTTCTTCCTTCATCATTCAAGTGTGATAAGGCCTTGAAGAGAATACCTTACCTCACCTTTTGTCTCCACAAGTCCATCTGCTTCCTTCCAAAGCTTCACAGGTGGGCCAGGTCCATTGAGACGTGGCCAGAGTGCTCCTGGGGGCTGGCAGACCCACCCTTCATTCTCGGGTGTCTCTTCTCCCACTTGTCACCTGAACACCCGTTTTTTAAATAAAGATTCACCCCACAAAAATCCCATCTCATTCTGAAAGGGGATGAACCAGCTAGCCCACGGAGCCCTTTGTCTGAAGCGTCTACCTTCACACATCCTCATCCACAAAGCGTCCATCCTCACACAGGTAGGGGGTCCGCTCGGTACAGGGCGGGGGAGACTAGGTTCCTGCATCTGGTAAAGGGATGAGTTACATTCCAAGTCCTTCCAGGATCCGAAATTCTACAATTCTACGACCAAACGTGCAGGTCCTATTTCTGAGGTGAAAAGGGTGAACCCCAGGACAACCCTCGAACTGGCAGTCAGAACAGGCTCCCCTCCCCAGTCCCGGCTCTGCGGATCCACGCCTCCGACCTCAGGCGCCGGCCACGGGGGAGGCCTGGCCGGCGCCCGTTCGTGGCCGCGCCATGCCCTCCTTCACCCTCACCAGCAGCCGCGGGCCGTCTCTCACCTAACACACTGGCATCGCCCGCCCCGCGCCGCAATGGAAATCATAGGTCTGGACGGGTCTCGGCGACCACCCGTCCTCCTTGAGGGAGGCTTGTGGAGATGTGCGGGCACAGGAGTCCAGCGCGCCGCCACCGGGAACGCGCCGCCTGGTTTCTAAGGAACGGGGGCACTGAAAAGGGAGGGGCGGGACGGCAGGATTACTGCGCATGCTCTGTGACGGGGGTAGACCCTGTGCAGGAAGGGGCAATGGCCGGGAGCTGCGCATGCTCGCTCATTGGGGGCGGAGCTTTAGTAGCTTGGGAGGGAGGCCAAAGTTGTCAATTTCCGGCTGCAGAGACTGTGGAGCTAGCTGTTTTCAAGCCTCAGCTTCTTACCGGTCCGCCGACCGGCATCAAGAACTAGGAAGTTTTGGGAATTTTGGTCGGCCTCGGTTGTCCTGGAATGAAAGACGATATCGTGCTGGACGACGACCTAATTGTAGAAGGCCAGTTCTCTCGAACTCGTCGGAATTCCTGGCTTTGTCTCCGAATGACTCATTTTTCAGTTTTTTTCAGCAGGCTGTCCGGGCTCCTCTTCCTCTGGATGTTCTTTGGTTGTTTCTTAAATTATCAGTGCTCTTTAAAACTGTGACTTCAGTCTCTCTGACCTCTTTACTGGAGCCTATGTCCCCCCAAATAGGAGACTAGCTACTAGAGTCATAAAGCTGGTACACCTTATTGTGAAACTATGTAGGAAATGTGATTGGGGTTTATTTCTGCATAGGGAGCCCCCGCCCCTGCTTGTCTGACTCTTTTGGTGAGTGTCTGATCCCCACTCAGCTGGCATTACGACGGTCTCCCAGCCATCATTCCCAAGCAGCCTGCGATGACAGAATATCGCAGTTCTGAGCATAAGGCAGTTCCTACTGAACTGCCGACCAGTAGCTGGGCTTATCACTGCTTTGGGCGGAGGAGACAGGACTTCCCACCACTGCAGTTACCTCTGGGAGCATGGAAGGCTCCGAGTGATGAAAAATTACACCCTCAACCCCCCTCTTCTGAGTTTTATCCCCTTCCTTGGCTTCTGGATCCTGAAGAGCCATGCAGAAAGGAAGCCAAATCAAAGCGTGCATGCGTTTGATCTGTTTCTGGCTTAGTCTTAAGGTTCCACTCTTCTGAGCAGGATTTCTCAACAGTGGCACTGTTGATATTTTGACCCTGATAATTCTTTGTTAGGCAGGAGTAGGGAGAGCTGTCTGCATCATAGCTATTTAGCAGCATCTCTGACCTCTACCTCTACCACCTGCTCCCTTCTGCTCTTTATATTATTTTGTGGCACTATTACCCATCCCATCACCCCAACCAATGCCTGCATTTGCCCTGTCTCTTGCTTTTCTCATTTCCCTCACATTTAGTTACTCATCTTGTGCTGACATTTATCTCCTAAATATTTCCCAAACCCACCTTCTTATGGCCTGCTACAGTGGCCTCCTAGCTGGATTATTTGCCTTCAATCTGTTTCCAGTTCCACCTTCAGGTAAACACCAGCATGATTTACTGTATCTTTTCTTTGCATAAAACCCTGGTGCCTTGGGGGCAGGAATGGGTCAGTCACACCACTGAGCATTCTCACAGAGGAAGAGAGCTCACATGTACTCTCTCCCTGTGTGCCAAACACTGCTGTATACATGCTATAACCCCCTACCTCCTTGGGGTAGAGCGATTTAACACATTTTTAAGGATAGAGAAACAAGTGTCAGAGAGGCTTACTTTCTTTAGACATCCCAGTTAGTAAACAGTGCTGTCTGGGCTAGGATCTTAAGCACAAGTTCTTTCTCCTCAGACTGACAGATAGGAAGCTAACCTTAATATCCTTCAAAAGAGGTACCACTGAGAAGTCTTTTCTGACTGCAGTATCTGGGGCAAGGATATTTGGAATGTATTTTTTTTTTTTTTGAGTTGGAGTCTCACTCTGTCGCCCAGACTGGAGTGCAGTGGCCACTCCCGGCCACCGCAGCCTCAACCTGCTGGGCTCCGGCGATCCTTCCGCCTCAACCTTCCGAGTAGCTGGAACTACAGGCGTGCGCTACCACACCCGGCTAATTTTTTAATTTATTGTAGAGATGAGGTCTTGCCAAGTTGCCCAGGTGGGTCTCGAATGGAATGTATTTTTTTTTGAGTTGGAGTCTCACTCTGTCACCCAGACTGGAGTGCAGTGGCTGCTCCCGGCCACCGCAGCCTCGACCTGCTGGGCTCCGGCGATCCTTCCGCCTCAGCCTTCCAAGTAGCAGGAATTACAGGTATGCGCTACCACGCCTGGCTGATTTTTTAATTTATTGTAGAGATGAGGTCTCGCTGCCCATGCGGGTCTCGAACCCGCGGGCTCAGGCAATCCACTCACCTCAGCCTCCCAAAGGCGGAATGTATTTTTTAAAGCTTTTTTATTTTTTATTTTTTTGAGCTGGAGTCTCATTCTATTACCCAGGCTGGATGGAGTGCAGTGCATGCTTCACGGCCACCGCAGCTTCGACCCGCTGGGCTCAGGTGATTCTTTCGCTTCAGCCTTCAAAGGAGCTGGAACTACAGGTGCGTGATACCACACCCAGCTAATTTTTAAAAATTTATTGTAGAGAAAAGGTCTCGTCTAGTTGCCCAAGCTAGTCTCTAACTCCTGGGTTTAGGCAATCCTCTCACCTCAGCCTCCCAAAGTGCTGGGATGACAGGTTTGAGCCACTGTGCCCAGCTTAAAATCTTATTTTTGAGGAGAAGGTCCTGTGGACCACCTTTCTGAAGTTGAATTTGCTACTTTTTTTCCTTATCAAGGGAAATAACTGAGGTCTAAGTACCTATCACCTATCCTCTTTGGGATCTTGCAAATATCCAAAGTTTCAAAGGTCCTTGAGGGAGGCACCAGCAGGGTCCTGGGTCCTTGAGAGATGGGCTGAGGAGAGCCCAAATCCTCCAGGACAGGATGTGTCACACAAGGGTTGTGTCACACAACCCCAGTAAGATTCAAAACAGAGACCAGACACTCATGACTGCTTATGGATGTGTATTTTAATAAAAATAATTCTGTCAAAATACAACAGGAGTTTTTTCATCTCTCAAGTACAATTTTAATAGGATGTTTTGTGTTAGAATTCTCTCTCAACGCCCCCCCCCCCGACACCCACAAGTTTCATGCTAATGCCAAGTATCAACTCTCGAGGACAAAGGCAGAACCAGTGTGCACAATGTGGAGGATGTCTGTTTCAGCTGTAGTTACTAATGGAGGAAAACCCGATGCAAAGAGGCGAATGCCTGAGGCAGCCTGAGGCAGCCATAGGCCACAATCTGGCCACAGATCTGGGTGCATGAGACTAGCTGTTGGTCAAGTAGGGCTCTGCTACCCGGCTGCCATATGGCGTGCATACCTGAGTTGTGAGCAACCAAAGGAACTTTCAACTCTGACAGTTCTGTCTCATCTTCTTTGTGCTTAAGGGGTGGGAAGGTGTGGGGTGGCCAGGCAGTCCCCACTTCTCTGTCTTGTGGTGTCCTGTTTTCATAGCCTGCACACAGCCACAGACCCATGTGGGTGGGGAAGGGGGTCCTGGCTTTCTTTATTTGCCAGTTTCCACTCTGCAAGGAGCAACCACTGGGTGCCACAAAGGGAAGGTGAGTAGGGAAGGCTGTTTCCCCAGGGCTGGACAACCCAACAGAGACGGTCTTCTTCCTGCCCCCAGGGGTCAGGCCCAGTCCTTCACCAGGGCTCCTCCCAGGTGCCTTTCCCACTCTAGGCTCCTGGAAGCAGGCTGGTAGGACTGGGTGTGCATAAGGGGCTCCTGTGGCTGGCAGGCAGGCCTGGACTATCAGCAAGAGAGTGGGATCAAGCAGCTTGGTTTTGGCCCTCTCCACGACTTGTGGGGCAAAGGCTATGTCCCAAAGGTGAGCTATCCCATTGGGACAGAGAGCCCCTCTGGAGAGAAACAGTAAACAACTTGGACTCAGCTGAAACAGTGAGATAAGGCACAGAAAATGGGGAGGTGGCCATACGTACTGAGTGTAAGCCAGGCAGACAGCCAACAGCAGCGGAACCCTCCTGGGTTCTCTCTCAGCCACTAAACAACCCAAGCCCAGGCACCCATCCTTATCCCTGACACACCCCTGAAGGTACCAGCTACTCAGATAATGCTGAAAGCCACACCACTCTAACCTCTCATGGGCTCATCTGCCATTCAGCTTCCGGACTAAGGAGTATTGCCCAACCCACAGGGATAAGTAACCCTGCTCTGCTACAAATTTGCTGTGTGACTTTGGCCAAGTCACTTAAACTCCTGGTCTGTTTCCTTATCTATAAAAGTAGAGGATTGGTGGGAAGATGTTCTCTGAACCCCATTCCAGCTGCAAAACCTCTGGTTTTAATTCCTAATCCTGCTAGGCTCTGACCATTTTAACAGCCTGATTTTTCCAAACTCTGGATTTGGAAACTAGGTAGTCCCGGCCTTGCACAGGATAAATTTCCTTTAGTTAGAACACTTCCCAATAGGCCATGGTCTGTGGTCTGCCAGCTGGGACCCTGGCAGTGACCAAGAAAAACAAGCAGCTATAGGATCATCTCCCAAGGCAGAGCTCTGAAACAGCACAGGGACAGGGCCCAGGTTCCATCACCAGCAGCTGGTTCAACTCAATAATCTTTCTTATCGTCCAGCTGTGGGCCCAGTGAGACCTGGGTGAGCACTGAGTATCTCAGGCCATACCAACCATTCCCATGTCCACTAACATGTAATTGGACCTTATCCAGCCTAGATCCAGGTAGGGACTGGAAGTTCAATTTCTGGCCTTGCCATGGCTAATCCTACTTTTTGCAGGGGCTGCTTGTGCTCTCCCCCACACTGAAACAGGCATGAAAATCTCAGCCCCTCCTGGTGGTCTTCTACATAGGCTTCCTCTTTTTCTTCCTCCAGGGCAGTCAGTTCTCTCCACAGATGGCCCACCCAAATCCTGGCAGCCATCTTAGCCCTTTCTCTGTTGATTTCCCATGGTAGAGGGACCATTTTTGCTCTACCATCTGTGAGGATCCATCTGAAACAGCTGGTGGGACATCTGTAAAACTCATGGTGTCCCATCCTCTGGTCAGCAAGTACTCCTAACAGTCTTTCCTAAGAGTGGCTGGGCCCCAGTTGCAGGAAGCTGCCTGGTACATCAGCAGTGAAGCCTGGCCTAGGGTACCAATGGTTCCATCTACTCTGTGGACCAGCAGCCCAAGAACCTGCCTCCACAAGGTACTGGCTTCTCAATAGAATATCAATTCCCTCAGAGCTGTGCAGAGATGATAAAGATCCAGGCAGGAAGTAGCCCCTGTGCTCAAGGGCCTCTGTCCTGGGAATGGAGTCTTCTTCCTGGCAGCCTGACACACAGCAGTTCTCGGGTCAAAGGCAGGTAGTTTCCAGGCAATCAATTTAGAGTATATGAATTATTTGGCCATCTTAAAAAGAAGGGAAGGCAAAGTATTGAAAAAGGAAGAAAGAGGAGCAAGGCTGGCAGTGAGAGGTGGGGTAGAGTGGTAGAGAGAGTGCTGGCCAAGGACCATCTACTCCCTTGCTCTGCTGTATGGCCTTGGGTCAACTCATCACTTCCCTGGACCCTCAGCCTTGCAGTTCTTTGCTCCATGCAGCTCTCAGGGGCCTAGGGACCCACACCTCTTGGGATGCTGCAAATCAGCTCAGCCAGACCGTGCCCACTAAGTGCCCCCCCGCCCCCAGCCTGTTCAGTTTCCCTAGGCTACAGCTGGGCCTGTGGCTCAAAAAAAGAGGAGCCCAAAATAAACAAATAATTTGGCTGAGGTGACAGAGATGATTTTTGTTTTAATGAGTTGGACTCAAATAAAAATATGGTGTCTGAACAGCCTCACCCAAGAGGTTCTGGACCACTAATACTACGATAAATACTGTGTCTTTTTTTAATATATATATTTATATATATAATCTCATTTTTTTTACTTATGAAAATAATAAGCTATCACCAACTTGGATAGGCCTCATCACTAAATTAGCAGAAACCAGCTCAGCACAAACTCTCCAGAGATAAATACTGGTGGCTCAGTCAGGAGGAAAAAAAAAGATTAAAAAACCCCAACCCCTCCTCAAAACAAAACCCCCCTTTCAAAGTAGAAGGCGCTACATGAGAGTAACCAGCCAATACTGTGTCATAGGCCGCTGCACATGAAGGGGAGAGAGAGAGAGAGTGAGGTAAAGGAAAAAGAAAGGAAGGGAAGGAAGGAAAGGAGGAAAGGCCAGGCGGGAGGAGTGGACTCCATCCATGGCTTCCAGATTCTGGCGCCAGTGCCTATGAAGGGCCGGGCTGCTCCAGCCCTGGGGCCGGTGGAGGGCCAGGTGGGGTTGGCCAGTAGAGTCAGCTAGTGCAAGTAGTCGTCGACTCTGGCAAAGGAGCAAGATCCCAGGCCTGCTCGGGCCATGAGCCGTAGACACTCAGATGCCTGGCCCAAGGCGAGCATTAGAGGGGGCTGCTTTGGCAGGTTCTGAGACTCTGTGAAGGAGAGACAAGGTCTGGTCACTGCCCCACTCAGGGCTTGGGCCCAGGTCAAACTTTCCTTGCCATCATGAACTCAGTTCAGCAGAGGAAGGTCAGGGTTCAGGTTCAACCACCAAAGCCCAGGAGTCCTATAAGCCACCAGAGAGAGCCTGTGCAGACCTTCTGCCTGAATCTGTACAAATGTCAGCTCTTTCCAGGGAGAGAAGGGAGGGGACCACCCAGGTACTCATGGGCCAGCTTCTGTTTTTGTAAGATCCACTTACCTAAAATGGCGCTGTTGAGGGCAGCACACACAGGTTCCCTCTGGATGGGGTCAAGCTGCTGACCAACTGGACAGCTCCAGGGGTCTGAGTATGCCAGCAGGCTGAAGGCATCCTAAGGAGCACAGCACTCTCGAGAGGATTGTGACACATACCACATACTCCCTGTGTCTTCAAAGGGTGACAGGGTCCTGCACGGTGCCCAGTGAGAGCCCAATATACTTGGAATATGGGGTGGGACAGGGTTCCACCCTCCTCAGAACCTGGAGAGGGTGGAGTATATCCCAAATGCCCCACATCCCACTGCAGACCTGACTGGAACCCACTTTGTCCTGTTGCCACTGCCTGCTGGAACCACCCAGAGTGGCCCTGCCCCCAACACCAAATGGGAACCTGCTCTGTGTGTAAGCCTGGCTTGTTCCGTACCTGCAGCATCTCTGTGTGAGCCAAATTCTTGCCATACTCCCGGCCCAGCTGTTCACTTAAAGCCTGCAACTCTCGGCCAAACAGGATAATCCTTTCTGTGGCAGCCTGGTTGCCCCCACAGAGCTGCCGCCGTGGATGCCCATCATCTGCACCCAGAACACAGTGAAGAACACATAAGGAGGGATGTGAAGAGACGTACAGGACCAGAATGGAGCAGGAAGGACCCTGGGTAGGCTGCACTTCTGCCAGAGGCAGGCAAGGCTGGGAAGAGCAGGTAGGGCAGCCACAGTGGAGGTGCTCTTCATCCATGTGGCACAGTCTAGGGGTCAGGCAGGACTCAGAAACTTTCCCTCTTCCCACCCTGCCCAGACGCAGGGTGCTCATCAGAGTACCCATACTTTCGAAAGCCTTTCAGTCTCAAACACAAGGGGCCCTAGTCTTGGCACAACCCTGAGCCTTCTTCATGTTGACAGTTACCTCAAGGACCCATCCACAATTGGCTAAGACAGCAGTGGAGCAGGTCTCACGGAAGCCCTTTAAGCTGCCAAAGCCTGTCCATCCCAGCTTCCTCCCAGGCATCTGGACTACACATTGCCCTCTTAGAGACTATCAAACTGTGTCATAATAGGGCATGATTCTTACCCATGCTGGATTCATCTGTCTGCAGGTCCTCATGCTTATAGGCGCCATTGACAATGCGTGTGGACATGCTTTCCAGCACACCATTGGGGTAATGCTCTGCCTCCATCTCCATCTCACTGTCACTGTGGAGAAGGATTGAGGTGGAAGTTGGCCAGGGGGGTACGGTGGAAGCAGCCTGATTGGCATCCATTCAGGTTTTAGCCGTGGGATGCTGTGGATGAACTGGGGGCACCCAAGATTATAAAAGGACAGCCCAATCTTCTGGGGCACTCTCACACTTGCCCCCTGCTGTGACCTATGCTATCCCCAGAGGCCTGTCACCTGATTCCTATCCAGTCCCAATACTGACTCTGTGTCTCTACTCTCCCTGGCCCTCCTCTGCATCGACACACTTATTCTATACATTGCCTCATCACCAGTAATAGACCCCAAACCCAAGTCAGTCTTGAGGCATGCCTAGGGACTGTTAAAAGCCACCCAGAGTTGCAGTCTGCAGCCTAGGGTTCTCTGCCTGCCCAACCTGGCTGTCTGTAAGCCAGACTCAGTAAAAGCTCCTTCATTATAAATTCTGGGGGTTCTGACAGGCCCAACCTCCTTGGAGGAAGAAGCCTCTCTGGAAACCACATTCTCAGCATGGCAGTATCAGCACCTCTGGAGAAAGCTAGGGCCAAAGAAAGTGGCAGTTGAATCACAGGTAGGGCCAGAAGTTACGGCCAACATCTGGCCTGGCGGGAAAACAGCTTATACTCTAGGTACACACCTATGATGGAGGTTGGGCATTAAGAGTAGGAAACTCAAAGAACAGACTGCAGTGGGCTCAGTTAGCACAGGGCAGAAGGGAGAGGAGAAAGCGGAACAAAACAGGCACCTGGTCTCCTGATTACTGGTACTGCTGTGGGGCTGGGACTTGGTGGAGTCTGTTGAGTTGGACTCGGAGTAATTAACAGAAGACGGGGAGGAGGAGGATGAGGAGGATGAGGATGAAGATGATGAGCTGGGTGCTGGGTATTTACTGTGGTTCTGTTTGCTCTTGATGGATGCAACACCATTGCTGCAGCTGGGACTGTCTGCTCCTAGAAGCCAGGGGACAGTTAGAAAAGGAGGGCTGCTTGCCATCAAGCAGGGCCCTGAGAATAACTAGTGGTCCCGTTTCCCTTCCCCCAATCCAGCAGTGAGTCCTGAGCCCAGCCCAGGGAAGGGCGTGTGAAGTGGCCTCTCTTCTCCACACCAGTTTTTCCCAGAGCCCTCTGGAGAGTGGCTGACCTGTGTTGTGCATGTGGGAACTACTGGGGCCATGTCGGGGGCTGAGGCTGGGGGAGCCAGGGTAGCTGTCCTGGGACTTGGGGCTTCGGGAGCTCAAGCTGCGGACCTCACTGTCGGTCCCATTCACCATCTCCACAAACTGTCGGCACCTGCAGAGGGAGCAGAGCGACAATGCTCTGGGCATGGCCCGGGCTGGCATTCCCACCACGGGCTGAGGGGGCTGGGCTCTGGGGGACCTGGCAGTGCCCAAGACTTACTTGAGCATGAAGAGCAGGTTGGGGTTGTGCTCCAGCAGTCCTGGGTAGAAGCGCTGAGTGGTCTCGATAGCCTCACCCACACGGCCCTCCAGCACCAGCTTCTGGATCTCTGTAGGAAGCAAGAACATAGCAGTGAGCGAGGGCTACAGACCTCCCTCACAGCCACATGCCTGGGATGCTGCCAGCTTTGGAGCAGAGACCAGCCAAGATCAGATGGGCTGGCTCAGAGTGCCTTGCCAGCTTAAGACGCTCACAAAAGAAGAGGCTGAAGAAAGAACCTGGCCTTCCTGCCCCACAACAAACCCTGGTTTCTGCCAAGCATCAGGGAGTCCTCAAGAATAATAGGGGAAAATGGAGCAGAGACTCTCAGCCCAGAGGCAAGAGGATGAGTTTAGTGGCTTGTTCCTGTAGGGTACAGGTTTTCAGGGACTTAGGGGTGAGGAAGAGCCTTGGCTGTGGAAGCATGATCTGGAGATGGGCATCTAAGCAGCTTGGTGGCCTGAGGAGCTCCTCTTCAAACAGACTTCTCTCTTTCCAGGCCTTACGGGGGAGTAGCAATGGAGGCACACTGGTTTCTGGGCCAAAGCCCATGTCCTGACCATCTTCAGGGACTGCAGTGTACTCCCTGCTGAGAGGGGAGGCATTTCTCCTCATGCTGGCACTTCTAATGTTGACATCTCTCAGGCCATCAGCATCTTGCTATTGCCTTCTTGCTCCTGCCCTGGGGACTGGTGAAACCTGCTGGGAGTGACTTCAGGGTCTAAGGCTCTCATTAGTAGATCCCAAGTCTGATCCCTTTCCTTCAGGCTGGCTGAGCTCAGCTTCTCTTGGACACACAGACACATGCACATATACAGATACAACAGGCTCAGAGAGATGCAGGCAGGCACTCATAGACACGCACACCCACACATGCCTACTCATCCTCACTCTCCTCTCCTCTCCTCCTCACTCCTTCCTGGGCTCTTTTTCCTCTTTCCAAACACATCTCCTTCCATGGAAGAGCCCCAGAGACACAGTACACACTGGCCAGCATTGGGAGAGCTTCCTTTGGCCAAGGAAGGACTCTAGATTGTCTGCAAAGGGACTAGAGGTGGGGAGCAGAGAGAGGTGCCACCACAGTAGCCATTGAGTATCAGCTTAGTTTTAGCTGACCACTTCAGTCTTCTCTCTGGCTAGGAATAAGCAAAACTATTAAAGTTGAGTAAATGGTGGGAAAGTCAGGGCATTGGTCTGATAATATGGAAACACACGCTTTCTGGAACACCATGAACAGGGAAGCTGAGTGGAGTTCAGGATTCAAAAGGAAGGAAACCAACACAGAGGTGTAGGATCCAGTCATGCCAGGGCCTGGCTTGTGCCAGACCTTCATTATTATTATTATTATTTTCTATTACCAGGTTGGAGTGCAATGGTGTGATCATGCTCACTGCAGCCTCAAACTCTTGAGCTGAAGTGATCCTCCCGCCTCAGCCTCAGGTACACTCCACCACTCCTGGCTAATTTTTCTTCTTTTTTTATAGAGATGGGATCTTGCTATGTTGTCCAGGTTGGCCTCAAGTAATTTTCTTGCCTTGGCCTCTAAAATTACTGTGATTACAGCTTAAGCCACTGTGCCTGGCCAAAATATGCCTGGACTTCAGAGTATGCATTAGAAAGGCTGCTCTGAGACATTCTAAAGTCACCAACTGTCCATCTGGGCAGTGCTGCCTTGAAAGAGGAACAGGAGCAGGGTCTGGGGCTATAGGGTGGTCTCCAGGGTGGTTAGGACTGGAGCTAAATGGACTCCTTACAGGTTAACCAGGACTAGCATGAACCAGAGAGCAGAGTTAGGGACAGGTAAGAGAGAAAACGGGGAGAGGAGAATTAACCTTACTTTGTCTGTTCTTTATGGATGTCTGTTCTTCCTGAATCGGGGTTTCAGTCATTCGAGCAAAGGCTGTGGCAGTGGCACAATACCCATGGTGTACCAGATAAGACGAGACCATGCTAGAAGAAAGGAAAGGCTCAAGGTGACACTCAAGAATTGCATTTCTCACTGACCACCCGATGGCACAGACTACTTCCCATAAGGTCTCCCTTAAACAGATCACAAAATGAACCCTCCCAACCCTGTAATCATGCAGTCAGGTTGGGAGGGACTGGTCACCACATCTGTGCCCACAGCTAGGAGGAGTGGCTGCAGTTTTTCTGGGACATGTTGCCTACAAGCAAGCATGATAAAAGTACACACACAGCACACCACATCTTCTTGCAAATGACTGCCTCCTTGTGAACTGCAGCAAGCCCAGAGATAGCCAATGGTCTTACTGAGGGCTTCCTGAAACAGCAGCCAGCCAGGCAGTCTTGCAGTCTGGCAGCTTCCCAGACAGAGAGGACACATGCCACACACACACCTCCTACAGACACAGGAGCTCCTGTGCAGGCTGCCCCACGCACTCAGAAGAAGCATTTCAGCTCCCTAATGAATATGCCCTCAGCAGAGCGGGCTCTAAAGAGTGAAGGGGAGTTAACCATGATCCAAAGTTACTTATGATACACCACAAGTCAGGGGCCCATGAATCCAAGAGATCAGGTTGATTTTGCCAGACAAGGACAGGCACCAGCAGGGTGAACAGCAACACAATCTCTGACAAATGGTCTGGAGAAGCCCAACACTCACAGGGCATTTAACCCCACTGAAAGTCAGCTGAGCAGTGAGTAGCACATGTGTGTATATGTGTGCACATGTGTAGAGCAGAAGGATGAGCCCTCATGGTGAAGTGTACAAGAGTGAGTGCTTTGGTGTGTCTGATGTCATACTATAAACACAAATGTCTAAAGGGCTATTGTATAGAAAGCACAGAAGTTTGGGTGTGTGTCTCTCATGCTTTAAGGGGTAAATGAGATAGATAGTATGGATAAAGTATCTGGCAGGAAGTAAGGAGTCAATAAATATTAACTTCTTATTATGAAATTATGTTTTACAATATTATATTCTAAACAGCAACTTTTATTATACCATATTATTAACACAATGGCAAATTTTTTGATAAAACATGGCTCAGATGAGCCCATATGAACATCAAATGTCATTAAAATATACACTCCCTTTGAATCAATAATTCCACTTTTTAAAAGGACACCAAGAAAATAATCTTAAACATAAAAAATTCTTTAGTACCAAAAGGGTTACCTACATAAGCAAAAGAGAGGAAATAACCTGACTTCCTACTAAGGGAAGCCAGCCAAGGGGCTTGTGGCAAATTTGTCTCTGAGATAACATTGTTCTTACCAATTTTCATAAAATAAAGTTATATGAAACCACAGAACACAAATTATATGCAGGTCTTGGCAAATACTACATATGAACACATAAAGGCACATAAACAAAACACCCTAGGCTAGGTGTGGGGGACCATGGCTGTAGTCCCAGCTACTCAAGAAGCTAAAGTGAGAGGATTGCATGAGCCTAGGAGTTTTGGGTCCTGCCTAGACAACACAGCAAGACCATCTCAAAATTAAAAACAAAATAAAACACACCACACCTATGTGCTTAGCCTAGGTTCTGAAAGCTGAGAGTGTCAGTCCCTCCCTCATGCAGCCTGGGCAGCTCCACCCCTCCTCTTGCCCATCCCAGCTAGCCTGCTGCAAGGAGTGGTGCTGTCCTGGCCCTCCAAGGAAGCACTTCTCATCTGCTCTGGGGGCTGGGAACAAGAGGTAGCAATGCTGTTCTTCCTAGGAAGGGTCTGGCCATTTAGTCTCTATCTCAGCCTATTCTTGGACCTGTCTCAAGATCAAACCCTCAAGAAAAGAAGACTGTACAAAGAACCCAGTGTGTACTCCAATCCCACCCAAGGGACACTGGCACCCTGGTGCCTTTGCAGGGCAATGACCAAAGCTAGTGGAAGCCCAGCCCTTCCCCTGTACCCATCTGCCCACCCTTGGGAACCAAGCTATCACCCACCTCCTAGCAGAGTGGGTACTGGTCATTGCCTTACTCAGGCTTGCAGATGGCAAGTAGAAGAGAGACCCAAACCTGGCCTCCCTTGGGAGTCTCAGCGACACTGGCTTCCAGGACAGTCTGGGAATTAATCAGCCAAGGAGCTAGCTAGGCTGGTCCTAGGTAGGACTCTCTTCCTGCCACCACTGCCATAGATGAATGGGACTCAGCTGGATGCTGGGCCCTGTGAAGTGAGATGGCATGATGGATACGACCTATGGTGGAAAAAAGTCCACAAAGGAAGAGACAGACCACAGGGTGTCTTAGTACATCCTCTGCAAAATGACCTGGGGAAGGAAAACAGCCTTGCTGGTGATCTTACATACAGGAGCCTTCCAATCTATTTGAGGGGGCAAAGGTTTAATTAGGAACAGCTCTGCAGAACTAAGCAGGAGCTGTCTATCTGATGAGAGGGAAGCAGGAGAGCTGCAGGCTGAATCATCCTGGGAATACTTCCCAGAAGGGATGCCGCCCACTAGAATTCATATGAGCAGCTTGTAACACTACAGGGGCCTACAGGAGAGTGAGGCCCCTGGGGCAGGGTGGGGGTGGGTAAGGGCAGGAGCAGGGCACTCACTTCTGCAGCACTGCCTGCCACTCGCCAAGCCGGGCACTGATGGGGAAGCAGTGGACAGTGCCCTGGACCTTGGCACGCCATTCCCGCATGTAGTCCTCAATGTCAAACAGGAAGGGCTGTTGCCCAAAGTTGGCATCCACAATCTCCCCAGGAGTCTGCAGGCCTACGGTGGGGTAGAGGTTGGCCTGAGGAGGAGAACGAAATGTCAGTCAGGCCCCAGACCCTGAGGACATGGAGCAGTGTCAGTCAGGCCCAGACCCTGAGGACATGGAGCAGCGGGGCAGCAGGGCCTCACCTCTCCTCCATGGCTCCTGCCAGCCCATGCTAGGGCTGTGAGAGAGATGCAGCAACGCTGGAAGAGGCTGAAGCACATTCTGCCCAGCTCCCTACCAGAGGCACTATGCCCCAAAGCTTGAGGAGAGAATGCAAAACAACAGCAAGCAAGGTTCAGTATAGAGTCTTCTGCCCTGCATTAGAGGCCATTGTGTCCCCAAGATCCAAGATCCCACCCCTCTGGAATTCAGCCGGGGCACACAGAGGCAGGCTGGGCTCCACAACCCTAAAGATGTGCCTAGGCAGGTCTGCTGCAATGGTGGATAATGGCTCCTATTGGAAAGAACCAGGGCTAAGGATCCCTTTGCTATAAAAAAGAGGTCCATGAGGGGGAAGGAAGAGATGGGATGACCCAGGAAGGGAGGGAGGAGGAGAGCATGGCAAAAGGGAGCAGGCGATTTGGACTCCTGACAATGGCAAAAGGAAACAGGCTGCTGTCCTTCCTGTCAGAGGCTTACCAAGAGGAGGATCTTCTGGCCAGCAAGCAGTGGGATTCCCTGTTTTCAAACTATCCTCTGCCATGACCAGTTTTTACCAGACCACTCCTTCACTCAGCAGTTCCTGTGACTTCCCAGTGCTATTGCCCAGAACCTCACTAGCCTCCTCCCTAAAGGTCACTGCAGATTGTCTCCCCAATCCACTCTTCACCTCCAATCCTCAGGCTATGTGTCATTCCTGAATATCATGTGCCTTTCTTGCACACTGGTTTCAGCCCACCATGAACTCTGCACCCACAACCTCTCACTTCCTTCCTTTCCCTTCCCATCTTCTACACCACAGGCAAAGCCCACCTCCTTCAGCAAGTCTTCCCTGACCATCACCGCCCACAATTCCTCACACTTTCTAGCACATGGTAGCATACTGGCCAAGCTCACATCTGGTCATTTCATGCCACATCTCTACAATTAGACTCTTCCCCAGCCAGGATCAGTATTCTCCTGAATCTATCCTCTTTGCCTAGGACTATAGCCCCTCTCTGAGGCCTACAGGTAGGAGGGAAGGATTCTGATCCAAAGATAGAAGGTTCTAACAGGATCCCTGGGTGCCACAGTCTGGATTCAGAGGCCCTTCAGATCACAAGGGCTTTTCCTAGGGAATCACTGGGGTATGCCCAGAATCCCAAAGCAGCCACTAGAGTCAGCAAACAAACAAAACAACCTTCCTTCCTTCCTCCCTTCCTTTCCTCCCTCCCTTCCCTCCCTCCAGCACCCAGTTTAGGCACACAGGGCTGGGTCAGGTTCCCAGAATTCTGTGTGGAAGCCCTGCATGTGACATGGCCTGTGATGACTCTTAATAAGAAAGGACTAGGATACAGGTGGGAAATGGTTGGAAGCAGGGAAGAGCCCCTAACTAAGCAAGCAGAAAACCCCATCCTTTTCTAAGAAGAGAAAACCCCACAAAGGCTCCAGGTATCCTAAGTTGTAGAAGACTAGGTCCCCAAGGGCACTTGCTTTCCTCGAGGATTTCTGATGGTTAGGTACAGGAACTGGATTCCCTAATAGTTCAGAACAGTACCCTACACTCTACACCTCAGTCCAGTGGCTATAAGCCACACTGATGAAGCTACCCTCCTTCTACCACTCTACCCTCCAGCCCCAGAGCTGTCTTTGGAAATGCCACAAATTACTGTCACTTGCTAAGAATCGTGCAGGAAGACCAGGCTTTGCTGTTGGAGAGAGAGGAAGGCCAGCAGGTACCTTGTCCTAGTACCCTCAAGCTGACAGCATGGCACACAACCCTAGTTGGGGAAAGGGCCAGATGCCACACCGTGCACTTGCCAGTACCACCATGTCCCATTCCAGTCAGCTCCCAAGAGCCCAGTAAGGGGAAAACCCAATAGTAGTACTTACCGGGAGGTCTGTGAAGGCTATACCTGTGGGGGAAAAGGAACAATCATCAGGCCACTCACAAGGCTAGCCTCCTGGTCTCCTCTGCCCTGTAGGCACATGTTGGAGGCTGTGCGAGGGCCTGGTAGTTTTGGACCCTGGCCTTCTCTTTGCTGGTGGCCTGGCCAGAAGTGAAGTCAGATGGTTAGATACTTTTCCATCTATTGCTTCATACCATCCTCATACCAACTCTTGGGAGTAGGCTTTAGCATCCCATTTTACAAATGAGGAAAGTAAGCCTCAGGCTAAATGATTTGCCATCAGTCATAAAGCTAGCAGAAGTGGTGGGGCTGGACTCATTCCTAGTCTGGCGCTCCAATGTCATGTCTAAGCTGATAGAGAAGTAGAGACAGAGAGGGTGGCAGATGCCCATCTACAGACTATATATATTAAGAGTGCTCAGAGGTTCCAACATAGTAAAGCCCAGGTTAACAATGGCCTGTGTACCCTCCAAATCCTCCTGCCAAGAGAAGGAACTGCATTTACAGTGACTTTAGCCCTGAATTGAAAGTGACAGTGCGTGGTAGTGCGACCCCAAATATATGAGCAGGCATCAGAATATTAACCAGGGCACCCATGCTCTGCAGGTTGAGAAATGACCCAGGGTTAATGGAGACTCTCCCAAGAATTCACAGCCCTCTCATTTTTTTTTTTTTTTTTTTTTTGAGTTGGAGTCTCACTCTGTTGCCCAGGATGGAGTGCAGTAGCACACTCACAGCCACCCCTGCGTCGAACTGCTGGGCTTTGGCGATCCTTCCATCTCAGTCTTTCAAGTAGCCAGAACTACAGGCGTACTATAGGTTGTAGCCAGAACTACAACCATGCCTGGCTAATTTTTTATTTATTGTAGAGATAAGGTCCTGATAAGTTGTCTGGGCTGGTTACGAACCAGCGGGCTCAGGCAATCCACTGCCTTGGCCTCCCTAAGTGCTGGGATTATAGGCTGAGCCACCAAGCTTGGCCTCATTTTTTTAGAGAAAGTGTATCTTCTAGCAGCCCCTGGGCTTTTGGCCTGAGAGGTTTTCAAACTGCTGCCTTCTTATAGTCCCCAGTCTGTCCCTCCAACCTCCACCCAAAAAAGAAACTTAAACTCAGCAACATAGAACAGGTAAGTTTGACAATAGGTCTCCCAGTAAACCTGGGCTAGAATCATGCCAGCCAGCACATACCATGTGCTTCCTTTGTGTTGTGCACTAGGCTGAGTGTCTTATCATTTAATCCTCAGAACAAACTTGGAAGATGTATACTGTCTCTGATAGTAGTTTACAGATGAAGCAACAACAACAACAAAAAAAAACAAGGTTTTTTTCATCTTTGCCAAGCTATTTTGCTCCTCATTAAGGGAAGCTCATAAACCACATGGTCTGCCTGCCTGAGAATACTTCTAAGTCCCACATGTACAGTCAAGAATGACATGCTGGCAGGACTGAATCTGTAAGTCTTTCTGCACCCACAAGGAGATACCAATGTCTACCCTCCAGGTCTGCCTGGGAGATGTCCTCAGGGAACTCAGCCTGGCCAGGATATTGCTTACTCCTGGTCTCATGGAGGAGGCCCACAGAACTCTGGAAGTGGGAGTCCAGACTCCATCAGTATCTGCAGTGTAGACCTTTACTCAATATCTCTGACAACATCTGCAAAAAAATAGGTAGTATCAATCTGTCTAACTCAAAGAAGAAAAGAAAAAAACGAGACATTCTGTGAAAGATATTTCATAATGTAAGGTCTTAGGTACAAGCTGGCTGCAGTTGTACCACAGAGTGAGATAACTACCACACTTCTGGGCAGGGGAGGAACTACACAGGCTTGCCCGGCTCTGCCTCACAATGGCACCCAGGAGGATAAGGCTTTGAGGTGCTTCTAGGAGAATGTAGAGAGAGGCTACTCCACCTCTTACTGCACTGGATGAGGGCAACACTGCTCCCCCAGCTCTGCAGATCTCTGTGAGCCTCTGCAAGACCACTGTGATGGCAAGGTCTAAGAGTTGGCTCACGGGAAGAAGACTCAGACAAAGAACCAGGATGCAAATAGAATAGCCAAGTTTGCTGTGACCTGAGCCAAACAGATAAAGATCAGAGGTCATTGAGGGTGAAATATAGACTTCAAGAGAGAGCACAGCGCTATGTGAAAATTATACTGTGAGCACATGGACCACTTGTAGATGAGATGTCAGTCTGTGTCTCCATTCATTAATTCCTTTTATTCCACCAAGTATCTGCTGAGGACCTCAGGAGCCAGGTCCTATAACGGGACTAGAGAAAAAGCTTCAAGCCTGACCCTCAAAAGGCTTCTGACTCCAACAAGAGAGATAAGGTGTGATTAATAATTATGCAGACAACTGACCAGTGGCACACAGAATAAGAGCTGTGACAGAGGAAAGGAGCAAGGAGGCCAGAGGCAGAAGACATCATTTGACTACTCTAAAGGGAGCAAGGTTAGATTCTGAAGCACATTATTGATAAGATGGCTGTTAAAAGGAAACAGGGAAATTAGAAGATTCACCAAGCTGTTTGTTATTCCAATGTCATTGCCTTTCCGTTACATTTTGTGATCTAGAAAATGCAGGGGTCAAGCCATATCAATTTTTCAGTAAGATCTCAATAACATCTTTGTGGGCAAGATAAAAAAACACAAGTTTCAAACTAACATAACTAAGTAATTCTTTTTTTTTCTTTTTGAGGAGGAGTCTCACTCTGTCACCCAGGCTATAGTGCAGAAGCTCACGGCCACCACAGCCTTGACCTGCTGGGCTCAGGTGACCTTCCGTCTCAGCCTTCCAAATAGTTGAAACTACAGGCGTGTGCTACCATTCCTGGCTTACTTTTTTATTTTTATTGTAGACACAAGGTCTCACCAAGTTGTCCAGTCTGTTCTTGAATCCCTGAGGTTAGGCAATTATCTCACCTCGGCTTCCCAAAGTACTTGGATTACAGGCTTGAGCCACCATGCCTGGTCACTAAGTGATTCTTAAATGGCTGATGTCTTCCTGGACAAGCTCAACTGTACACTGAAGGACTCAAATCTTAGCCTTGTCTTCTTCCAATATTTTTAATCAATATCTTCATGAAAACACACACAAACATGCTTAACAAATGTTAGGTTAATACAACACTGAAAAGGATATCAAATATTTGAGATAGAACAAGCAAGACTATAGAAGATCTTGCCAGGCTGGAAAAACAGGCAATATACTACTAAATTAAGCTTCGTTACAAGATGTGGGAGGTCTTGCATGGGGTCTATAATAAGCATCCACTAGGGAGATGAGTTTTTAAAAGCAGTCTGAGGGTTTGGACTGACATTAAAGTGGCCATGAACTCCCTGTTTGACCTGAGAACCTGAATGACAAAGAGCTCATGGCCCTTTGGTGGTCCTGGTGCACATTTAGGGCCCAGAGGAGGGAGGAATAGGTGCAGGGGGGATAGCAGAATATGCCCTAAGTCTTGAGTAAGTTTTGGACAAGCAGAAAGGATGTGAGGAAGGCAGGTACCCAAGGGGGCAAGTGAAGGGGTTTTGGGTACAGGGTGAGAGCCCACAACTGCAGCCCTAGGACTGTGACAGCAGAAGAATCCAGAGCCAGGAAATAGGTGAAGGCAGAGAGTAGAGTGGGGAGCAAAGAACCATCTTAAGTTTTTGGCCCACCCCTGCTAGCTACTCATCACTGGACATCAGCAACTGTGGCTAGGTGGCCATCAATTTCAGAGGAAGGTTTCTCTGATGTGTACCTGGGTCAGCTCTGCAGTGTCTGTGCTACGCTCCTGGCTGCCCAGATCCCTAGGCTTTCCTAGGGAGCTGGGCAGCGCTAGGGTGTCCAACTGCCTTGATGAGGAATGATAGCTCCTGATCACTCAGCAAACCCAATTCCCAGTTCACCTGATTCTGGCTGGGCTTATCTCTTGGAGAAGCCACAGAGGGGATGTGGAGAGTAGCAGCCACCTTTATACTTCCCCTCAAGCCACATGAAATGGGCCTCCAGGGCCTCAGGGAGCTGGGCTAGAGCCCAGCTCCCTTTCCTAGCAGGGCCTGTGGCAGCCTGTAGGGTTCTGTCAGCCCTTTCCTTACTGTACCATTCTGTGAGAACTAGGGTATGACCAAATCAGAGATCTCTGAAAACCCAGGCAAGCAGGCCCAGCAGTTAGGCACCACCTCTGGGGCCAGTGTAGCCAAACACCAGTCAACATCCTTGTAGGGCAAGGCATCAAAATAGCCAAAGCCCCTCTCTCTCAAGTTTTAATCTTAAATGTCTACACGTGCACAGGATTGCACTTCTAAGGAATCCTATAGGCCCCCATCCTCCTTCACTGATTGCTATTCCTCCTGGGTTCCTTATCCTAGTGAACAGTGCCATGAATACAGCCACTTTCCCACCTTTCCTTACAGTACAGTCCATCTGTCGTTAAGCTCTATTAGGCTACTCCCCACTTCCTACACCTACTTCCTATACTGCCTTATCTCAGGACACCAGCCTCCTTCTCTGGTCTTTACTCCTTCATGATTTCACCAAAGAGGGCATTTTCAACACAACTCTGCCCATTAACCACAAACAGGCCAGAGGAGACCTGGCCCCATCTGACTCCAGCCTGCCTGTTTCCCACCTATACTAGTGCATCTCTCATTGCTGCTCCATAGCAACCAAAGTCCAGGCTAGGTCATGGGCATGCAAACCACCAGCGCTCTAACTATGTACTTGGGCTCCTCAAAACTCTCGTCCAATGCCAAAACTTGCTCCAACCTGTTGCCACAAACTTCAGAATCATGACCAGAACACTACTGTACTCTCAGCATCATCCCTGGGCTTGATAAATGCACTGCTGAATGGATAGATTAACGAAGAGTATGGCCGGCCATGGTGTCTTATGCCTGTAATCCCAGCACTTTGGAAGATGGAGGTGAGAGAATTGCCTGAGCCCAGGCATTCAAGACCAGCTGGGGCAACTTGTTGAGACTTTGTCTCTACAATAAATAAAAAAATTAGCCAGGTGTGGGGGCACACGCCTGTGCTTCCAGCTACATGGAAGGCTGAGGTGGAAGGATCACTTGAGTCTAGCAGGTCAAGGCTGCGGTAGCCGTGAGAATGTCACTGTACTCCAGCTGGGGTGACAGAGTGAGACTCCTACCCTCCATTCATCTCAAAGGGCTCCAATGCCTGAAAATGGCTACAGTTCTCCAGAGTTCAGCAGATGCTCTGTGACACTGTCTTGACTTCAAGGCCTGCCCAAAATGGCTCCACAGAGCAGACCCTCCAAGGTTCTCTATGCACCCACCAAGGCTGTGGCCATTCTTCGTGTAGAAGCAGGTGCCATTGATGAGGTTGACACAGCAGCCAATTACATCTCCTGTGGTGAAGGTGGGACCATAAGGCTGGCCAGTCCCCGAAGAGCAGAAGGAATGCCCATCATCGCCATGGTAACCATAGGAATGTTTGTCCCAACCTGTGGGGGAAAGAGCAGCAATAGCTGAGTATGTACTTGAGAGAGGAGCAAGACAATCACAGAAGCCCACCCAGGTCTCAGCCCCTCTTCTCAGCCTGCCAACCTCAGTTGATACTCCTGGCCTCTCACAAAGCCAGCAATAGACAGGGTCTGGCTGTGAGTCAGCCCAAGGAGCTGAGGCAGCTCCCCAAGGGAATAATCCCAAGCTGTGGTTAACAGGAACCAAAACCATCAGTGTCCTGGAAGGGACTCACCAGAAGGCAGTGCAATACGGAGGTAGTCAGGAGAAATCTTGTGAAAGAGAGGGAGCTAGAACAGACTTTTGGAAGTATATCATTGTGGGTTGTTTAAAAATTTTTTTAAACTATGGGATAGTTCACATATAATAAGATTCTCCCTTTTTTAACTGTAAAGTTCAAATGAGTTTTAATGAATGTATACAGTTGTGTTACCATCACCACAATCAAGATATAGAACATTTTTATCACTCCTGGCAATCAATCTGCTCTACTCACCACCAGTTCCCCTGGCAACACCAATCTGATTTGTTCTTATGGTTCTGCCTTTTCCAGAATTTCATACAAATGGAATCATAGATTATGGGGTGTCTTGTCCTGCTTCTTGTACTTAGCACAATACATCTGAGATTCATCCATGTTGTTTGAAGTATCAGTATTTCATTTCTTTTTATTGCTGAATAGTACTCCATTTTCGGTATATATCAGTTTGTCTATCTATTAAGCAGTTGATATTTAAGTTGTTCCCAATTTTTGGCTATTATAAATAAAGCCAACAAACATTTGCAATGTTTTAATTTCTCTTGGGTAAATATTACAAGTGGTATTGCTGGGTCAAGAGATAAGTGTATGCTCAAATTGATAAGAAACTGCCAAACTGTATTCCAAAGTGGCTATACTATTTTGCTTTCCCACCAGCAATGTATGAGTTCCACATCCTCAGCAATACTTGGCATTCTCAGTTGTTCATCTTTTTTTCTTTATTTTTCTTTTTTGCAAGCTGCCCTAAATGCTTAATCTTTTTTTCTTATATACTTTTTAGTAGGTATGTAGTAATTTCCTTTCAGCCCTTTTAGTAGTTATATAGTAATTTTAATACCAAATCTCTGATTTGGTTTGATCTGCACTTCCCCAATGGCCAAGGATGTTGAGCATCCTCTCATGTACTCATTTGCCATTTGCTTATTAAAAACTTATTCAATTATCTATTCAAATCTTTAACCCATTTTTATTAGGTTACTACATTGAGCTGTAAAGTTTCTTCAGCTACTTGGAAGGTTGAGGTAGAAGGATCACCTGAGCCCAGCAGGCCAAGGCTGCAGTGGCCGTGAGGGTGCCACTGCACTCCAGCCTAAGGGACAGAGTGAGACTCCAACTCAAAAAAAACAAAAAACAAAACTAGATTATGATGGTTGCATGACTCTTGAAACACACACAAAGAAACACTGAATTGTATACTTTAAATTGGTGAATGATATAGTATACATTTTATCTCATTTTGGATATAAGTGCTTTCATGTTTTGTATTTTCTTCCAGTCTGTGGCTTGTCTTCATTTTCTGTTCTTTTTTTATTTTTTTTAATATCTTTTTTTTTTTTAGTTGGAGTCTCACTCTGTCGGAGTGCAGACTGGAGTGCAATGGCCGCTCCCGGCCACTGCATCCTCGACCTGCTGGGCTCCGGCGATCCTTCCGCCTCAGCCTTTCAAGAAGCTGGAACTACAGGCGAGCGCTACCACGCCCGGCTAATTTTTTCTTTTCTTTATTGTAGAGATGAGGTCTCGCCAAGTTGCCCAGGCGAGTCTCGAACCCATGGGTTCAGGCAATCCACTCACCTCAGCCTCCCAAAGCGTGGGATTACAGGCTGAGCCACCGAGCCCGGCTTGTCTTCATTTTCTTAGCAGTGCCTTTCAAAGGCCTGCTGTGATCCTAATTATCTTGAGATAGCTTAACAATATTAATTATTATAATCCAGGAGCATAGCATATCTCTTCATTTATTGTCTATTAATATTTTACTTATCTTTGGTTTTTCTCAGCAATGCTTCAACGAATTTATCTTTAAGTATTCTATTCTTATGCTATTATAAATGGTATTTTAGAAAAGGACTGGCAGTAGTAGGAAACTGCCTGGGGAAGGAGGGGGCACACCTCATCAACAAGGGTACCTGCATAATGAACATTTGTATACCTAACCTTGAATTGTACGCCACATCTTTAAAATAAAAAAATTAAGCCGGGCTCAGTGGCTCAGCCTGTAATCCCACGCCTTTGGGAGGCTGAGGTGAGTGGATTGCCTGAGCCCACAGGTTCAAGACCCGCCTGGGCAGCGAGACCTCATCTCTACAATAAATCAGAAAATCAGCTAGGCGTGGTAGCGCATGCCTGTAATTCCGGCTACTTGGAAGGCTGAGGAGGAAGGATCACCGGAGCCCAGCAGGTCGAGGCTGCGGTGGCTGGAAGCGGCCACTGCACTCCAGTCTGGGTGACAGAGTGAGATTCCAACTCAAAAAAAAAAAAAAAAATTAAAAGTTAAAAAGTAAAAAAAATAATAATAAATGGTATTTTAAAATTTCAACTTCCACTGGTTTCTTGCTATTATAATAAAATATAATTAATCTTGAAGGTGTGGAATGGGGTCAAGTTTTATTTTTTAGGTATAAAAAGTTCTAAAACTAGATTATGTTGGATGTGGTGGCTCATGTCCACAATCCCAGCACTTTGGGAGGCCAAGGTAGAAGGATCACTTGAGCCCAAGTGTTCAAGACCAGCCTGGGCAACATGGCAAGACCCTGTCTCTAAAACATAAATACATGCATACATAAAACTAGATTACAGGCCAGGCTTGGTGGTTCAGCCTGTAATTCTAGCACCTTGGGAGGCCAAGGCGAGTGGATTGCCTGAGCCTACAGGCTCAAGACCAAACTGGGCAACTTGGTGAGACCTTGTCTCTACAATAAATAAATAAATAAATAAGTCAGGCGTGTAAGTGCGCACCTGTAGTTCCGGCTACTTGGAAGGCTGAGGCAGAAGGATCACCTGAGCCCAGCAGGTCAAGGCTGCAGTGGCCGTGAGGGTGCCACTGCACTCCAGCCTAAGCGACAGAGTGAGACTCCAACTCAAAAAAACCAAAAAAACAAAACTAGATTACAATGATGGTTGCATGACTCTTGAAACACACAAAAAAACACTGAATTGTACACTTTAAATTGGTGACTGATATGGGATACATTTTATCTCAATAAAGCTGTTAAATACACACATATGTATGTATACACACATACTGTATATACATTACTTGATTTTTATGTATTCACCTGGTCTCCTGAAACCTTGCTAAACTCACCAATTAGTTATGGCAATTTTTCTGAAAATTATTTGAGATTTTTTTTTTTTAGTTGGAGTCTCACTCTGTTAACCAGGCTGGAGTGCAGTGGCACGTGCATGGCCACCCCAGCATCGACCCGCTGGGCTTAGGCAATCCTTCCACCTTAGCCTTCCAACTAGCTGGAACTTCAGGCGCGTGCTACCATGCCTGGATAATTTTTTTATATATATATTGTAGAGACAAGGTCCCACCAAGTTGCCCAGGCTGGTCTCAAACCCCTAGGCTCAGGCAATTCTCTCACCTCAGCCTCCCAAAGTGCTGGAATTACAGGCTTGAGCCACCGTGCCTGGTTTTGGGATTTTTTAAAAATATAGATAATCATATTATCTGAAAATAAAGCTTTACTTCTTGCTTTCCAATCTGTATGCCTTTCTTACTTCTTTGTACTGCCTTGCTGCATTGACTAGGACCTCCAATGCTGAACAGGCCAGGTATGGTGGCTCATGCCTGTAATCCCAGCATTTTAGGAGGCCGAGGCAAGAGGATCACTTGAGGCCAGGAGTTCTAGACCAGCCTGAGCACAAGAGACCTGCCTCTCAAAAAAAAAAAAAAGCTAAATAGAAATCATGAGAACAGAAGTGAGACCTGTGAAGTGCACCAAGATTTTATACAGTGGGGAGAATGGTAAAAGAAGTCTTTCCGGGAAAAGTTGCACAGGCAAAGGCATGAAGGCAGGTGGCACAGGAGGGTGGGATCTGTAGAGGAGCAAGCATAATGAGCTAATGAGCAGAAATGGAGCTCATAGAGCTATGACAAGCCCAGGACCTACATAGGGTACTGAGCTGACAGGCTGGCAGGTAAATCTACTCTCCAGGCAAACTCTTCTGGTAGTTTACTCAGCTTCTGCCTGCCTCCTTGGGGGTCTAAGTAGCATGCCTATGGGAAAACACTTAAGCACACCTTCCCCTCACAAATGGTATGGGTAGAGGGCTGTCCTCTGAGGGAAAAGGTCTGTGGGGGCAGGACATTTGAGGATCTGAGTACCTCAAAAAGGAGGGCAGGTCCTAAACATTCACAACACCGGTGTATGTGGGCAAGCTGTAAGCAAAGGTGTGAGGGTGAGAGCAATGGATGACAGTGATAGGGGTTGACAAGAGAGGCAGAGGGAATGACTGGAGAAGCAACATAGACCAGAACCTGAAGCCCAGTTGGATCAGTGAGAGCAAGGGCAAGTTGCCCCTCATGGTCACAGCACCCATCCCAAGGTTTGTGTACCTTGGGCTTTCATGTCTTTTCAGCCAGGAAGCCTCTGGTTAAACAAAGATTCTCCAGAGCCCATGGTGGGTAACAGGCCTAAGCTAAATGGCTCTTGGTGATGGGCAGAGGGCCCAGAGCCTTCTGCATCTTCCCATCACATTACGAGGAAATTGGGGTGAGAACTGCTTGAGACTGGTTTTAGAGGGGCCGAGGCTTATACCTGAAGCCAGACTTTGTTCTCACCTTCCCAATTCCCGAGAGACACTAGAACTGCCTGGCTCAGGGGACAGGTTGCTTCTCAGAGCAACAACCCAACTCCTAAACTCACCAGGCCCAGCAGTGGAAGAGGCCTTTCTACTGGTAGGTACACAGATGCTGACCTCAGGGAAATAGATCTTCTG